TCACATCCTGAGAAAGTGTACAAACACTCCCTGCGTGTCCGGCGCTACGTATTTCTTAAAAGCTTGGTTCAAAATCATCTCATATGCAAGAACTAACACACAGCTCACACGCAACCCCCCCCCCCCCTGTTTGTCTCCCCACGTCCTCCTTTCCTTTCATTAATTTTCTCTTTCCTTTTATCTCAAAGTCTTTGCTCATTTTCTTTCCTCTTATATCATTTCATTATTAGCATTAAAAAAAAAAAATTGGTTTAAAGAAGTAAACATCTGTTGTAAGGCTTGTAATGTATGCATGTCTCTGAAAATGTTTTCCTAACACATTCTGCTTATTTTTTGTGTTGATTTTGATAATGTTGATAATGGAATGGAATGTTTTTATGTATTCTAAGCCTGTGAAGTCTGTGAGAATCGATGCCACTCGTATTGCACTGGTCGAGATTTTGATAGATTTTCATGCTCAAAATTTCAGTTCTACTAGATATAAATATCGCGTTTTTGTTGTTCTATAGTTTATGTAAAATGTGAATTAATATACTTGAACTATGCTCCATGTCCAAAACTCTTTTAACTCTCTCTCGTATAAATCATTTTGGTATGAGATAAACATTTTTCTAATTTTTCAGTTTTATTTTTCAGATCCCGTGAGGTCAAGAAATATCTACGTCCAATTTGCGACAAGATGCTCGTGCTGACACTGGCTTCAGGGAAAGGCGAGTCGAGAATATCCTGCTCTCAGACACACGGAGAGGAACCTCTGCTAAATGTTTCTCTTCTCTTAACAAAGTTTCATTTGCAAAATAGTGTTCGTAATATATAGATAGACAGATATATATAGATAGAGATATAAAAAGAAATATGAATAAATAGATTGATAGAAAGACAGATATGTGAGTAGAAAAGGTATGAATGAGAATGAGTATCTTCATGGTACAAGAAATGTATTTGATTTCGATTATATCTTCCTCAGAAAATTAACAGTATATATAGTCGAAAGCGCTCAAATACATCTCTTGCCCTGTGAAGATATTCATTCTCATTCATTCCTTTTCTACATTTGTCGCAATGAACACGTTGCAGATACGTACGTTGTTAGATAAGTAAATATAAACATAGATATAGCAGCATATATATATATATATATATATATATATATATATATATATATATATATATATATATATATATATATATATTTACTTATATATATCTATTGCTACTGCTCTCTCACGATTGTTGTCAGAAGTCCCTCTCCTTTTGCGGTGGCGCTCTGCTGCGCGTGCCTTAGCCCCTGCTGACGAATGGTGTTCGTTCGCAGGCGTACCTGGAAGACAGATGCTGGTTATGGCTACAAATGTCGATCATACGGAAAGTATTTTGGGATGACATCGACTGATGCTCCTCAGAGACGGACACGCACACAGACAAACACGCATACACACTCACACACACAATTCTATAAATACTTCGCGAACGCTGCCTGAAATAATTTATTTCTAACGAAAATTTCAAGAAGCAGCTAAACGGCACTCACAGCTTGTCAGCATCGCAGTCGTCATCATTCCACAAGAAGTCTTTGCTCTCTCTCAGCTCGACACAGTCCTCGCCACCGCTCCACAGGAAGGGCTTGTGGTCGTTGGGCTCCCCGCTGGAGAACCTGCGAGCGGCGAGGAGATAGCGGGAGATTGGAGATTAAAGATACCATGAGCCTCATTTCAGGAAAGGACAAACAGGCAACTCACCACGGGATCTAGGGCGTTTCGAGTAGCAAGTTCCAGTAAAAAAATAAAAATATTATATATATAAATATCTAAACAGTCTGGAGACACAGGTATCAATAAGCTGGTGACAAGAATATAAAGAAGGCGATTTGGCGAATCCAACGTCTCCAGGCCCGGGGTGAGTTGCCAGTTTTTCTGTTACTGATGTTTACTGAGGGGTTATTACAGATGTTTATCATGCATGATGATAAGAATAATAATGAAAATATGATGATAATGACAGGGATGGTAATGACAATGGTAATGATAATAATGTTGGTAATGAGTTATATAATAACGATGGTAATGGCAATAGTTATTTTAATGATAATAAAAACAACGATAGTAAAGATAGTAATGATAATGTTAATAGAGATGGCGTATGATAGTTATGATTATGATGATAAGACTGGCTAAAAATATGGATTGGGCATCTGCAGAGTCAGCACTTACTTAGTGAAGACCGGCCTGGTGTTGTCAGAGTCCCACACGAAGACTCCCTCTTTGGCCCTGTCGTTGAGGCCGATCCAGGTATCCTTCGTGGTCAGGCCTGGGGGGGGGGGGGGTAGAATACATGTGCATGAGGACGAATCATTTCCCAGTGGAAGGACTATACCTAACGCGTTATTATGAAAATAATAATATTAAAATAATAATGATGATGCTAAAAGTAATGTTAATAGTGATGATGATAATACCAAAAGCAATACTATAATTAATGATATTGCAACTAGCAACGTGATGATAAATATAGTGATAAAAAGCCCTTGATGATACTAAAAAACAACGAACAACAGCAACGGCAGAAGTAGCAAAAGAGGCCAGGGGGCGGCGCCAAAAACAGCCTCACCCTTGACGAAGCTCCATTCCTCCTCCGACGTGATTTTGACCAAGGATCCGCCGCTGTTCTCGCAGTACGACTTCCCCTCCTGCCACGTGCCCTCTTCACTGCTCAAGTGGTAGCACGACCTGCCGTACATGGCCCATCCATCGGGGCACGAGAGGGCGGTGGTAGTCGGAGGCAGGGTCGTCGTGGTAGTTGGGGTGGTCGTAGGAGTTGTAGTGGTCGTAGGTGTTGTGGTGGTCGTAGGAGGTCTGGTGGTCGTTGGCGGTACGGTAGTCGTCTCGGGTGGCGTTGTCTGGAGGTCCGCACCATGTCCGTCCTTGCCGCTGTTGTCCCCGCAGTCTGGCAGCGTCGTCGTCTCATCGACAGCGATTTCAGTCGCCACGGGCGGGGTCGTGGCGGGGCCTGAGCTTGGAAGGAAGGTTCCTGTGTTGGTTCCGGTTGGAATGTTGGTTCCAGTTGGAACGTTGGTTTCAGTTGGAACGTTGGTTCCAGTTGGAACGTTGGTTTCAGTTGGAACGTTGGTTTCAGTTGGAACGTTGGTTCCAGTTGGAATGAAGGTTCCTGTGTTGGTTCCGGTTGGAATGTTGGTTCCAGTTGGAACGTTGGTTTCAGTTGGAACGTTGGTTCCAGTTGGAACGTTGGTTTCAGTTGGAACGTTGGTTCCAGTTGGAACGTTGGTTTCAGTTGGAACGTTGGTTTCAGTTGGAACGTTGGTTCCAGTTGGAATGAAGGTTCCTGTGTTGGTTCCGGTTGGAATGCTGGTTCCAGTTGGAACGTTGGTTCCGGTTGGAATGAAGGTTCCTGTGTTGGTTCCGGTTGGAATGTTGGTTCCGGTTGGAATGAAGGTTCCTGTGTTGGTTCCGGTTGGAATGTTGGTTCCAGTTGGAACGTTGGTTCCGGTTGGAATGAAGGTTCCTGTGTTGGTTCCAGTTGGAACGTTGGTTCCGGTTGGAATAAGAGTTACAGTGTTGGTTCCAGTTGGAACAAAGGTTCCAGTTGGAACAAAGGTTCCAGTGTTGGTTCCAGTTGGAATGATGATTTCAGTGGGAATGAAAGTTCCAGTGTTGGTTCCAGTCGGAATAAAGGTTCCGGTGTTGGTTCCAGTTGGAATATTCGTTTCAGTTGGATTGAAAGTCCCAGTGTTGGTTCCAGTTGGAATGATGGTTTCAGTGTTGGTTCCAGTTGGCATGATAACTGTTGTGGTTTCCAGCAGACTGCTGTCCCCTGTTGGCGCTGTGTCCGAGGGTTGGCCTACTTGGCAAGACTCAAAGGCCTTCAGGATGTCTGATTCTGAAATGTGCGATATGGAAATTAAGGCTCAGCATATCTCAAAAAAAGTTCTTTGCACGTTTCAACTGATTCTTGTCTCTGAAGTGATCAAAAGTATACTTGATTATAATGCGTATGGGGAAGTTACAGCAGAAGCCCATGGCACTAAACCGCCGGATAGATTAATTACTGCTATCACATATGCTGATTTATGATTTTAGGCTGTTTGAGTAACAGGGCTGTGATGGGAGCCTCGGTCGATGCTAGGTCTTCTTGCCGCGGCTCACCTGGTTGCAAAGGCACCAGTCTGCAGTCGACCATTGCATCTTTCTCGTACTTGATCTCTACCATGAGTCCTCGCTCAGTCAAACCAGCAACCTTCCTGAATGTCGAGCCGACGAACCAGGTCTGTTAAGCAGAATTCTATTAATTTCACACACAAAAAACAAGCGAACAAAAAAGCAACAATATACTGCCGTGACTAACCAATAGGAGAGAAGAAGGGTCGTGGTAGTATTAGGTGGGATAAGGAATAAAAGTGAAGATATTTACTTCAGATGAATTCAGAGCTTATGAAGTAGATCGAAACAAAGCCAAAAGCAATGCCGTACCTCCTCATTCTGGGCATAACACTGCGCCGAGCAAGAGACCCGGGGGTCCTGACCGGAGACGAAGTCAACGCTCACGCCCACGTCGCAGCCTTGGCTCTCTAGGTCACCAGCTCGCAGGACGGAGGCATTGCTCCTTCCAAGCTGTCGGGGCAATCTATTGTCAGGAAATCTATTGCAACTGTGAGGGGAATGTTCCCTGCAGACACATCAGGGACCTTTCGTGAACGCAGTTTTTCTCGTTTGTTTTGGTGCTACGTCCGTCCCTAGAGTATGACTCAATTATAAAGAGAATGCGATAATAAATGAGCATGCTGAGTACTCCATAATGCTGGACTGAACGAGAATTTCCATAAATAGAAAATAAAAAGAACAACTTGGTAAAAAGAAACCTGTGAATGACTCACCGATGCCACGGAGACAAGAACGACCAACAGATGAGTGAACATTCTGGACGACTCACGCTGAGTGTTGTGTCCCAATTTTTTTCTTCCCACTTTTTATATACACGCCCCCCCC